TTTTTATGGTTCTGAGTCTAACATTTAAGTCTTTAATCCATTTTAGTTTATTCTTGTGAATGGTGTAAGAAGGTGGTCTAGTTTAATTTTTAAAATTTTTTAATTTTAGCCCTGACTGGTTTGGCTCAGTGGATAGAGTGTCGGCCTGCGGACTGAAGGGTCCCAGGTTCGATTCTGGTCAAGGGCATGTACCTTGGTTGCGGGCACATTCCCAGTAGGGGGTGTGCAGGAGGCAACTGATCGATGTTTCTCTCTCATCGATGTTTCTAGCTCTCTATCCCTCTCCCGTCCTCTCTGTAAAAAAATCAATAAAATATATTTTAACAACAACAAAAATTTTTTTAATTTTAATTTTTAGAGAGGAAGGAAGAGGGGGAAAGAGAGAGAAACATCGATTGGGGCTGCCTCCTGCACACCCTATACCAGGGATTAAGCCCACAACCTGAGCATGTGCCCTGATTGGTAATGGAGCCTACAAGCTTTCAGTGAACAGGATGATGCCCAACCAACTGAGCCACACTGGCCAGAGCTGCTCTAGCTTCATTTTTCCTTTTTTGTATGTATCTGTCCAATGTTCTCAACACCATTTATTGACTAGACTATCTTTATTCCACTGTATGTTCTTGCTTCCTTTGTTAAATATTATTTGACCATAAAGGTATGGGTTTATTTCTGGGCTCTCTATTCTGTTCCATTTATGCCAGTAACATGCTATTTTGATCAATATGGCCATGCAATGTAGTTTCATAATCAGGTAGCGTGATTCCTCCAACTTTGTGCTTCTTTCTCAAGGTTGCTGTGGTTATTCTGGGTCTCTTGTGGTTATTCTGGGTCTTTTGTGGTTCCATATAAACTTAAGATGCTACAAGTAAGTGGAAGCATATACCGTGTTTATGGATAGGAATAATTAACATCATTAAAATGTCTAAATTTCCCAAAGCAATCTGTAGATTCTACACAATTATCATGAAGATATCAATTGCTTATTTCACAGAACTAGAACAAATATTCCAAACATGTAAATTTGATTTTTAAACAAGCACACAAACAAACCCAAAGCCCTATGATGAGGACACAGGGGAATGATAATATTCTCATTTCCCTGATGAACAAAATAAGTTTTGAGAACGATTTTATCTTGCCCAATGTCATAGCTGATTCAGTAAGTGTCAGGTCTGATGAGAACTTGAGTGTGACTCCAGCAAGTGCTGAGGTCCAACCCCAGCAGGTCCCGGGGTCCCCAAAGGTGTGGACGGAGTCGGTGAAGAAGGAATGACACAGAGACAGCCTTCAGTTACAATCAGTAATAGTTAAAATACATTAAAGGCTTACTCTGTGTCTGTCATCAATATCAACTCATTTAATATTTTAATTAAATTTTCGGTTTGAGATAAATATCTACTAGTATTCACATGCAATCTTCCTAGCTAATAAAAGAGTAATATGCAAATTAACCACCACTCCTCCACAAGATGGCGGCGCCCAATCCCCTCAGCCCCGCCAGTGAAGTGTCCAGGCCTATTGGCCAAGCAGGTGGTGGGGGAGGTGGGGGAGGGGCCTAGGGGTGGAGCTGGTGATCGGAGGGAGCAAGGGCGGAGCCAGCAATCGAAGGGGTCAGGGGCAGAGCCGACTCCAAGGGGAGCAGGGAGAGGGCCTAAGCCATCAGTAGGCTGAAGTGTCAAGGGGTGGAGCTGGCGATCGGAGTGGGCAGGGGCAGAGCCAGCTCCAAGGGGAGCAGGGAGCAGGCCTAAGCCATCAGTAGGACATCCCCTGAGGGCTCCCAGTATGTGAGAAGGGGCAGGCTGGGCTGAGGGACACTCCCCCCCCACCCAGTGCACGAATTTCATGCACCGAGCCCCTAGTATATATATAATGTCAGTATCCTTTACCCAGTTTCTCCCACTGGTAACATCTTGCAGAAGTATAGAACAATGTCAGAGCCAGGATAGTGACAGTTGCTGCCAAGAAACACACCGCCCCCCCAGACCCTTCATGTTGTCCTTTTATAGACACACAGGCTTTCCTCTCACCTCCACCCTTTCTTAAGCCCTGGCAACCACTAGTCTGTTTTCTATTTCTATAGATTTGTCATTTCAAGAATGTTATATAAATGGAATTATACAGCATGTAATCTTTTGTTTTTTTCCCATGTAGCATAATTGTCTGGAGATTCATTCAGGTTGCTTCATGCATCAGTAGTCCATTCCTCTTCATTGCTGAGTAGTATTCCATGGTATGGATGTGCCACAATCATTGTAACATCCACCTGATGGAGGACATCTGCCTTGTTTCCAGTGTTTGACTATCATAACTAAACTTCTATAAACATTCCTGTACAGGTCTGAGTGTGGACATAAGCTCATTTCTCTGGGGTAAATGTCCAGGCATGTAATTATTGGGTTGTACGATAGTTGCATGTTTAGTTTCTTAAGCAATGGCCAGACTTCTGACATTCCCACCAGCAATATATGAGCAATCCAGTTTCCCCACATGCTCACCAGCTTTTAGTGTTATCAACAATCTTTTATTTTAGTCTTTTAATAGATGTGTACTGATAATTCATTGTAGTTTTATTTGATATTTCCCTAATGATGTTGAACATCTTTTCATGTGCTTATGTTGTATATCCTTTTGGATGAAATATCTCTTCATGTCTTTTGCCCATTTTCTATTGGATTATTGTTGTTCATTTTTTTACTATTGTTTTATATATTCTAGATTCTAGCCTTTTATCAGATATATGACTTGCAATATTCCCCCCCTCCCTGCTGCAGCTTGTTTTTTCAATGTTTTAACAGGGTATTTTGCAGAATAAACCTTTTAATTTTGATGAAGTATAATTTATCAATTTTTCTTTTATGGATTACACTTTTGGTGTCAAGTAAAGAATTCCTTGCCTAACCTTAGATCCAAAGACTTACTATGTTTGTTTCTAACAGTTTTATAGTTTTCCATATTCCATGTAAGACTAAGAGCCATTTTGAGTTAATTTTTATATAAGACTAGAGGCCCAATGCATGAAATTCATGCAAGAGTAGGCCTTCTGGCACCCGGGACCCGGGCTTCCCTGGGGCCCCGGCTTTGTCCTGAAGGATGTCTGGAATGATGTCTGGTCTAATTAGCATATTACCCTTTTATTATTATAGATGTGAGACTGAGATCTTTCCTCCCCCTCACAGCCCCCCCCCCATTGATATATTAATTGCTCCCTCTCAGCAACCTGGGGGAGGCTATTTTCCTCTATTGAATTTTTTTACACCTTTGTTAAAATTCAGTTGGGCATATTGTGTGGGTCTATCTCTAGGTTCTCTGTTCTGTCTTATTTAATTTTTTTAATAAATTTTATTGATTTTTGACAGAGAGGAAGGGAGAGTGATAGAGAGTTAGAAACATCGATGAGAGAGAAACATCGATCAGCTGCCTCCTGCACACCTCCTACTAGGGATGTGCCCGCAACCAAGGTACATGCCCTTGACTGGAATCGAACCTGGGACCTTTCAGTCCACAGGCCAATGCTCTATCCACTGAGCCAAACCGGCTAGGGCATGTCTTATTTAATTTTTAACAGCCCTTTTCGAGAGATGCTCTTGCCATCCCACTTTACAGAGGAGTAAACTGAGTGCGGAGAGTGGAGGTAATGTTCTATGATTCAATATTTGCTACTGTAAGGGGCAAACCATGAACAGTAGCCAACACTTCTGCTTATGAGAGGGTATATTCAAGATGGGCTCAATTACACTAAAATTTATTCTATCAAGAATCAAATCAGAAAGAAGCATCTATGCTTCCTTTAGAGACAACCTCACTCTTTCATTTTTTAAAACTTGTTTTTATTTATTGATTTGAGAGAGGGAGGGAGGGGAGAGAGGGAGAGAGAGAGAGAGAGAGAGAGAGAGAGAGAGAGAGAGAAACATCGATTTGTTGTTCCACTTACTTATGCATTCATTGGTTGATTCTTGTATTTGTTATATGTGCCCTGACCGGGATCTAACCAACTGAGCTATCCTGCCAGGGCCCATCCTCAAGACATCCTCATCCAGCTTATCAGAAAAGTATCAAGAAACAAAATAACTAATCTTGGACACAATAAAGTGACTGCAAAGTGGATTTATTCTTCTATTAGGCTCAATAAACATCACTTTGTTGCCCTAATGACCTACTGAGGACTATCATTTGTTAGATAAACTAACCTTCAGGTGAAGAAAAAGCTGTCAACAGGGGCCCTTTACCGGTTGACAGACAGCTGTGAGGTGGAACCTGGAGGCACATCCTGATGATTTGAGAGGCTCTTTTTAAAATGCAGATTCCCAAGCCACATTCTAGGGCTACTCAAGCCAAATCTCCAGACTTAAACTGCTTCTACTGATAGTTACTTATTTACCTTTTTTCTGTTTGTGCATGGTTTTAAAATTCTCTGGGAAATTTTGATGCAGTTGGGGGTCACTGGATGGACTAAGGGAGCTTTTAAAAAAATATATATATATATATTACACTTTTTCTGTGGTTTCTTTTGAGAGGAAACATTTCCCCGAAACTAAATTATATAAGTGTAATCTTTCTATGCTTATGAGAGGATATATCAATAAAATATATATATATATTTTATTGATTTCTATCCACTGAGCCAAACTGGTTAGGCCGAAAGGAGTTTTTTAAAATGTGGTAGAGGCTACTACTTTTCAGAGAAGAGTTCAAGTCCCATTTTGAGTAATTGAAAGGACACGAGGAACCCTTTCATAGGATCCTGTGTTTGGTTCTTTAGGAAAAAAGAGCTTCTAAAAGTTTGCCCACCGGCTTCATCCTCACATTCAGGACTGAGTGTGATTGCTAAGGATTTAATCAGGTTTCCATTTAATAGAGATTGCTCTGCAGGGTCAAAAAGATTTTATGGACCCTCAAATATTCCATTCTGATGTGCCAAGGAACCCTGATATTGTTGAAAACATCCATACCTCCCAACTCAAATTGTTTAGGCAGAGGGACTTCTCAGGTAGAGGGCAATGGTGTGTTTAAGTAAGATTCTAACCCAGGTAACTGGAATTGTCATTCTCCTCCTTTTCTCCTTTAGTTGATCAAATAAAAAACTGCATCATCAATACATGCGCAATCCCAAATGAACTGCTCTTTGATTTGTGTCATCTTCCAAGAATCTCAAAGGTTTACATTTGTTGTCTTTCTAACTTTCAAACCACCTGGAGGGGTTTTATGGTTTACTCCCCGACATCCATCCCACCTTAGATTACCTAATCTTATTCCACTGCTCTCCTCCCACTGGCCTGGCCAGCGAATGGTCAGACTGAGCACAGTTGGGGAGACTTCCCAGTGAGATAGGTATCTCATGGAACCCTCAGTTTGGCTTAAGGCATTTATCCCAAGCTTGTGATGAAGGGGACTGTTTATGCTGAACTTCTTATATATTCCTCTTCCTCTAGGGAAACACAGAGCAGATCAAGCTGAGTAGAGATGAGCAGCGGGGTCGAGGTGCCCTCTTACAGGACATCTGCAAAGGGACCAAGCTGAAGAAGGTGACCAACATTAATGATCGGAGTGCTCCCGTCATAGAGAGTGAGTCTAAGCCTAGGATTGATTTGAAAACTTGGCTGGGCTGTCATTTTTATTGCTGGGTCTTGAGTGGGCAAGTTTTTTCCTGGGATGTCTTTTGATGATCTTCCCGTAACTTAGGAACATCTTTTCGACCTTTGGGAAGCTTTCTCAGCAAGACTTCCATCTCCTACGGTCACTAGTGCTTGTTATGCTTGTTATGGCACATCCTTGCTGTTCTCTGAGGAGACCACTACAGTCCCAAAAACCGCTCAGCGGAAGCCAGTGATGATTTCATAATTGCTGCAAGTGTCCGTTCCGAAAGGCCACGGGAGAGTGTGTTCACACCTGTGTCCCTGGCCGTTCGCCCCTTATAATCCTCGACTATGAGAGCAGAGCCCAAGGAACTCTGTTGAACGTGTCTTTCTCCAGGTTATCCCTCTGGCCCAACCAAATAAGGGAAGATTGGCTCCTTGTTCCTTTTGTTGTTTTTCTTTCATCACAGCAAATACTTTCATCCCTACATGAAGCTGTGGAGCAGAGAGGCTTCACTTTTATTTTTTTAATGCAAAGGCAAAAGCAAGATTGGCTTGTTTGCAAATTAGAACCCAAATAGAGGAGGAGTTTTTCCTCAGGATTAAGTTGGTCACCAGCTTGGAGCATATGAAATGAAAGCTCTGATGGTATGCTTTCCAGAACCCAAAGGAAGCGGTGGTGGTTATGGCTCTGGAGCAGGTGCCCTGCAGCCCAAGGGAGGTCTCTTCCAAGGAGGAGTGCCGAAGCTCCGCCATGTGGGAGCTAAGGACGTTTCAGGTATCTGATAAGTACTTTCTTACAATATTTCCCAAGTGCATTCATTTCCTACTGGTCCCAAGTGGTTCATCTGGGGTTGAGGAATGTGGTAGAGGTGGGAGGAAAGAGAGGGAGCAGGGGTGAAGTTATAGAGTAGATTAAAGCAAAGGCATTACATAAAAATGTATTCAACTTATATCAGCAATATTTGTTAGTGGGCCAGATTAAAACCCAGTACTATACAAATACTTTCCCTGCTGCTGTGCAAGGAAGTGAAGCTGGGTGATTTAGAGATACTAACCAATGTATCTCTAGCTCTGTTGACCCAGTGTGCTGTCTGGTCTGTTTGTAGAGAACCTAGCTGGTAAGCCAGCCCTGCAAGTTCCCAGTTCTCGAGCTGCTGCCCCAAGGCCTCCAGGGTCTACAGCCAGTGGGCGCCCTCAAGATGATACCGACAGCGGCCGAGCCTCACTCCCAGAACTGCCCCGGATGCAGAGACCTTCATTACCGGACCTCTCTCGGCCTATCACCACCAGCAGTCCGGGCATGAAGCACAGCTCCTCTGCCCCTCCTCCGCCACCACCAGGGCGGCGTGCCAACGCACCCCCTGCACCTCTGCCTATGCACAGCAACAAAGCCCCAGCCTACAACAGAGAGAAACCCTTGCCACCCACACCCGGACAAAGGCTTCACCCTGGTCGAGATGGACCTCCTGCTCCACCCCCAGTCAAACCACCTCCTTCCCCTGTGAATATCAGAACGGGACCAAGTGGCCAGTCTCTGGCTCCTCCTCCTCCGCCTTACCGCCAGCCTCCAGGGGTCCCCAATGGACCCTCTAGTCCCACTAATGAGTCAGCCCCTGAGCTGCCACAGAGACACAATTCTTTGCATAGGAAGACACCAGGGCCTGTCAGAGGCCTAGCACCTCCTCCACCTACTTCAGTCTCTCCTTCTTTACAGAGTAATAGGCCACCTCCCCCAGCCCGAGACCCTCCCAGCCGGGGAGCAGGTAAGTGCCTGCACACACTTTTTTTCCCTAACACACTGAGAGTTGAGCTTCTCTTTTCTCTTCACTCTTTCCCCCAGAGCTCTCCTTTAGTGACTAAAGATAAGAATTCACTTACTCATTCAACAGGCTTATTGAATGCCTTTTTGTGAGTCAGACTTTTTTGTTAGGGAAACAGCAATAAATAGAAAATGTAAAAAAATCCTGTTTTAGCATATAGTCAAATTAGTAAAAAATATATTTTAAAAAAATATATACTAGTATGTAAATACATAGTATGTAAATACATAGTATGTAGGTGCTTTAGAGAATTCTGGACTCACAGCAGGCTTTGCATAAAGCAAGAAGTACACCTTTGTTGTGTGAGACCATTGAAATAGGAGATCAGTTCTCACTAGAGCATTAATTTAGCTTGAGCTATGACCCTATTCTAGAATGAGATGTGAGGTAAAGTCTGATGGAGGGCTTCGGGGAAATGTTTCTTCTCAAAAGAAACCACAGAAAAAGGTAGGCTGTCCTTTTCCTCTGGTTTTGAGTCTGAGAGTGAGGCCTGGGACTGACTGCTACCCCCACCCAAGGGTGAGGCTGACACTGAAGGTGGCAGAGTAGGAGAACTTGGGTTTTTTGTTTTGTTTTGAGAACTTGGGTTTTTGATGACATCTTTGAGCTGCTGAATCAACCCGCTCTGGAATTCACCATAACTATTTCTGTTATGTGAGAGAATAAATTGCTCAGACTGGTGTGCTTTGAAGTTTTCATAACTTGCAACCAAAAGCATCCTAATGATAGATCATGGCTGTTAGCAAAGCAAGATGAAACTTACTTCAGTTCTCTGAAATGATTGCTCTTGTAGCAGAGACATTGCTGAGCTCCTCATTTAATTAAATGGGAAACTAAACTTAAAATAAGCTGATGTACACAATTGCAATTATTCCCCAAATGCTTTACAGTAACTAAAGCCAGTGAGAGAGTCTGTCTTCCAGCTGCAGGGACGACACGGATGTGCTAGGCCTTCCTGGCTGCACAGGGGGACTCAGTCATTGCAGCTATGTTCTCTCATTGAGGCCCTGCCTCCCGGCCTTCTGGGATCAGCATCTCCCCGAATGGAATGTGCAGATTTCAGAGAAAAATCTTACAGCTACACATGATGTTTTAGACCAGTGGTTCTCAACCTTCTGGCCCTTTAAATACAGTTCCTCATGTTGTGACCCAACCATAAAATTATTTTCGTTGCTACTTCATAACTGTAATGTTGCTACTGTTATGAATCGTCATGTAAATATCTGATATGCAGGATGGTCTTAGGCGACCCCTGTGAAAGGGTCGTTCGACCGCCAAAGGGGTCGTGACCCACAGGTTGAGAACCGCTGTTTTAGACAGAAGATAGGGAACCTGAACAGGGCTTGTTGGCACCCTGGGATGCCTTTTAAAATGCGTTTCTATTCTTGATGCCAGTTTCCCAAGATGGCTTGGTTTTGTATTATGGGGAGTCCAGATAAAATATGTGCATCACTCCAGTCCTGAGTGGTTCTAAAACTTTATAGAAAGGACCTGACCCTAGAGCAATCCCCGAAGGAACGTCTATAGGGATCCCAATGATACCTAAAGGATCAACCTAGGAACGCAGAAGAAAGGGACGAAGATGGGATCAGCTACTCAGTAGCCAGAGCAAGAGAGGAGCCCCATTGAAAGGGTGCATGCAACAACGAAAGTGTGTTGTTGTTGTTTTTTATGTGGGAGGCATTATCCATTAGAGTTTTTCTTTGTTTCCCTAAAATTTAACTTAAAAACATTTTTTAAATTGTATTTTGGGGCTGAAATGGGCTTTAGGTAAATAGTGAGCTAGGATATGTGATATGGGGCAGCCATGATTCTCTTGTATTCACTCATTCATTCATCCATCAAAAATATGCTTAGTACCTGTTGCATGGCAGACACTGTGCTAGGCACACCGATACAGAAAGAGAGTCACTGACCCTGAATTCAGTATAAAGGAGAGACAAACCAATAGGCAGGTCCTGATAACCTCATATGACAAAGCCATTGGCGATTATGCCTTGGCAGCTTTGGGGGCTGGAAGGAAGAACTCTGTCCCAACATATATTCACAGCCCAGGAATCCCACCCATGGAGATGTACTGGTGGGGCCTTCTAAATTCTCTGTTGAAAAAGATGTCTTACCTTGGCTTCTCCTCAAAAGAAGAGCCTGGGATGAGGGCCTAGTGCAGGTAGTTTGTTTTGAGAAGTGAACGGGAGTGAGGAAACCAGGGCGAATGAAACAAGGAAGGGAAAGCCAATCCAGGGGTGCCTTAGGGAGCTGGTTGCCACTGTGGGCAAGTGGAATCCATCCCTGGGGGGTGGGGGGCATTTTCTGAGGAACCATGTGACAGAGAGGGGCAAGGGGAACTTGACCCATTGGCTCTTATCTCCACTGGTCAGAGTTTGCTCTGGGGGTGCTGACTACCTCCCTCCTGCAGGTTTGTGCCTGGGTGCGTGAGCAGGGCTGAGCTGGCTGTCGCAGGCAGTGCTAGGACAGAGCCTGTGCAGAAAGTTGTGGGAAGCAAGCACAGCCAAGAAAAGGGCTACACCTGGGCACGGGTGTTGTCACAGTAACAGCTGGAGCTCAAGGTGGCCTAGGTCCCTATGAGCAAGGGCACCAAAGCCGTTGGCACCAAGGAAATGTTATCTGAGGGAGAATGTCACTATTCCATTAGGCTAACGCCAATCACTGATACATATATTGAATTCCGATCAAGCTTTTTTGAGCTTTCTCCTCCAGTGCCAGGTGGCCCCCTCAGTGTCCTTCTGAGGAAATGAAGCAGAAGACAGGTACATTGTGATAAGTCAGCGGGAGGTGAACAGTTTGGGGGCAGTGAGTGGGGGTGGAGATGGAAGTCCCCTGAGGGCCTATTCAAGGCACCAGCTGCCTGAGGACAAGATGGAAAGAAGTGTGGGTCCCCTGTGAAAAGGAGGAGAAAAGCACCCAGGCACGTCTCTCCAACTTGACTCAGGAGGACTCCCTTCAGGGCGAGTTCCAATGAAGGCTCCTAAAGACGGGAGGACATTCAGGACAGAAAGGAGAGGCAGCTGGCGAGTGTGAGCAGTTGGAAACGTCTGAGTCTTAGCATAGTTTCTGAACTAACTCCACGTTGCTTGAAACATAAGACATGTTTCCCCAGAGGCGAGGCCAGATTCTTTAAAGATTGGTCATGATGAATAGCCTTCTCATGGCTTCACCAAACTTGGGTTTCATTGGAATTGAGTTACACTTTGCTGCTTTGAGCATACAATACCTGCACTGTAATAGAATAACTGTCAGAACCACTAGGCATCAGTTCTGACTCCTCTTTCCTTGTTAGAGTTGGACAATACCTTAGACGTGTTTAAAAAGAAATGCCCTGGTATTCTATTCCAGAAGCCACACATAGCGACCTGGGGCCTCGCAGACCCCACTCCGATTACTTTATTTTTTTGCATGTGCAAACCTATAGTTGCAAAGATGCATGGGCTGCAATTCCCAAGCCAGGAGAGGAGAACAGAAAAAATAATCCAGTGTTTCAGATCTCCAAAGTCGGCTATTACCTGCAGGCTTACTATGTACATCACGCAGCGGCCTCATGTAATCTTCACAACAGCAGAAAGTAGGTGTCGGCTTCCCCATTTTACAATCAAGGACATTTGATTATGTAACCTGCCTGAGATCACACAGCTGGAAGAGGAAGAGCCAGGACTCACACTTAGGTCTCATTCTGAAGCTTTGCACACCGAGTGGCGAAAAAGTATTTATAAACAAGAATAAAAAATATCGCCCTTGAAAGCATGTCTCCAAAAGGATAAGACTTGAGACATTGCTAACAATTTGCCGTAACTGCTCCGGATTGTGGGCTTGATGAGCAGAGATGTTATCCTTCCCCCTCCTAGCTTGTTCCTCTGCAAAACCAGGCCACCCAGCCACCCTCCTCCCTGCAAATCACAGCCAATCAATCCTACACACTCTTGTTCATCACACCCAGTTTTTCAGGCCCTTTAGGAGCCAGAAGAGTAGTGGGACCTGTTGGCCATAAAATATCTTTATTTTGGGGGGGGGGTTGGAAGGTCGTCCAGAAGGATGTCCGGAAGGTCGTTTGGCTGTCTGGTCTAATTAGCATATTACGCTTTTATTATTATAGATTGGTATTGTAGCTATTACATTTTATTTTATCTATTTTTAATATACTTTTTGTTGTTGATAGTATTACAGATATCTCCCCCTTTCCCTCCTTAACCCCTCTCCTCCCAGCCCCTACCCCCCAGCCATGTCTTCACTACCCTCCTGCCCTTGTCCATGGGCTATGCCTCTAAGTATCTAAGTTCTTTGGTTTATCTGTTCTCGCCCCCTCAATCCCATATCGAGGTATGTCAGTCTGTTCCATGCCTCCGTGCTTCGGGTCTTATTTTGTTGGTCAATTCATTCTATTCATTAGTTTCCACAAATAAGTGAGATCATGTGCCATTTGTTTCTCAGATTGGAAAATATTATGCTAAGAGAAATAAAATATCTGTCTCCCATGGATATTCCTCTGGGGCGGTAGACTTCTCGGCTGCCCAGAGCTGGGAGCCTAGTAACGCCCGTGAGCTGAGCAGACAGCCAGAGAGCCTTTCTTCCTACCCGACTCTAAAGGAAGTTTGATTGCATCCCGTGGAGCTGAAAGGGGAACGGACTCTGCAGATTAGTTGTCAGTTTTGACTCTGGCCTCTGGTTCAGCGGTGGGATGATTGATCTGCCTCCCTATCACGGAGACTTCCTCCTTCTCACACGCGGATGCCTACAGGACCCTTCAGAGGCCGCTCGTCAAGTAAATGAGGCCCTGGAAAACAACCGAATGGACAACCTCCCTCTCTTTACAATTTTAATCGATTCTTTCATTTTGCCCTCGCTCTTGGCGGGTGACTTGGCATTTTAAACGCACACCTTTCCTCCATGGTGCCCTCTTACCTGCTCCCGGCGCCTTCCACCTGCTCCTGGAGCAGAATCAATACTCTGTTATTCTCTGTCATTTGGATGTTACTTTGTGCAAACAGTAGCTTAAAAAAAATAATAATTCTGCCAGGAGCTCTGCTGTCTACACAAATCAACAACCACGGGAACCAAGAAGTGGATTACTACCGAAATCCTTTTTGTTCTAAATTGTAATCAACTATATTGGATGCGAGGTTTG